GCAAAACAGCCTTCGGGAGCCTGGGAGAGCACATCATCAGGCTTCGGCTCTACAACACGCCCCTCGGGGCCGACAAGGAACTGGGCCGTCAGATACTCCGATTGGGTGGCCCTCGATTTCAGAGACAGGGCTGCGACATTCAAATAAGAATAGCCCTCGGGGATGTCGACAGGTTTTCCCACATCAACCGCCGCCTCCTTCTTCTTCTTCGGAGCAGCCTTCATCTTTGTCTTCCTCTTCCCGTGGGCCACGCTGATAGGTTCCACATCCAGGGCCCGGGAAGTACTCGCTCCGCCAGCACCGCGGGAAGGCAGCGCAGCCACCGTTACCTCCTGCCGCTCTTTCTCCTCTTCCTCTTCGGCCACTTGAAGAGCGAGGGCCATCTCCTCGTCTTCCACTATTTGCTCAAAATCCTCCGCTTCCATCTCCACCCGGAGGCTACTCTGTACCTCCTCAGCCACGGCAAGATCGTTGTCCATCGACGACTGCTCACTCGAGGACTCCACATCCGAGTAGCTCTCCTTCTGCACCGACGGCTCCCTCGAGATATCTTGGGAATCGCTTTGTGAGGACATAATTCCGGAGGAAGGATAGGAGTTTGGTAGAGAGAGGCTACCTAAATGTTCTAACCGAAGGCTCCTAAGACCTCTAACACAAGATCTAAGGGAGAAAAGCAAAGTATGCTAGGAAAGCGAAGAACAAGGAAGAACTGACCTCAAGGAATCGAATTCGATCGAAGGTGATTGCTTATCTCTCTAGAAAATTGGCCAGAGCTTCGCTAGAACAATGAAACGCACAAGGAAAATGGCACAGGGCTTTGGGGTATTTATAGGCTCGTTGCCTCGATACATGGGCCTCGATTTGAAAAACCCATCATTACGGGCCGCCGCTTCAGCCAACGGGTGGCACCCGCCCACTTTCGGCCAACAGGAGCGCGCCACGTGTGCTCCCCTTCCAACGGCTCTATTATAACGGCCATATTCCCGGGATACTAGCATGCTCCCGGGTAATAGCCTCCGGCTGTCACCTGTTACATCCTTCGGGGAAGCATCAACATAAGCCTTCGGCTTATCGACGTTGCACCCCCAAGTGACTGCCTCCGGCTGCAGCCTGTTATAGCTTTCGGTGAACAACTTTCGCCTGGCGCCTTCGAGGATACAACAGCATGAGCCCTCGGTTTACCGGCAATTTTACCCCTAAATCAATGGAACCCCTCGGGGTTACACACACATTATAACTCCTTCAGCCCAAACTTGCCTTCGGCCTAAAGGAGTGGGGGACTGGGGTATACCCCTCGGGAATCATGCAGAACAGAAATTTCTCCATACAACAATTTACAATTGACGCATGCAGCCTCCGGACAAACATCAAAGTGGAACCCCTTCGGCAAAGGCAGGATATCACAAGTTTTCACCAAGTCACTTGCGGGAATAGAGCAGCCCTCATAACAACACATACGGGCAACACATCCATACTCTTCCTCAGAAAACCCTCGACATGTGGGGGACTGAGGAGAGCCTTCGGCAGTCATACAGGTGTTATACTTCCCTCAGAAAACCCTCGACATGTGAGGGACTGAGGGAAGCCTTCGGCAATCAGTAGAAGGCGAGTTCTGTTACAAGGGCGCCCGACTAAATGATGAAGCCCCCAGAAGGATCAACACATCTACTCCTTTTCCCTCAAGTACCTTTCGGCAAAAGGAGTGAGGGACTCCTGATGGAGTATATGGCCCAGGAACCCCCGGCCCATAGACTCCTACTTCTCCTACACAAGTCCATTGAGCCCAGGAAACAACTCAGGCCAAAATGCAGCGGCCCAAGCCTCAACGTAGCCCAGAATACGCACTGGGGTGCCTTCGGCCTCCTTGACCGAAGGCTCTTCAACTCACAAGATAGCCTTCTCTGGCATAAGAAGCTACTGGGAGAAAAACGGGCGAAAACATAAGCCTTCGGCATTTTCATGCCCTCGGCTACACGAGGAGCCTTCGGCCAAACACACTCGATCAGCGAAGATTCCTTTTGGAGACAGACCAACCACCGCATTTAAAGCTACGTCACATCCGCCAACCGCATTCAATGCAGTGAACGTACCACTGCCGGTGCCAACCGGTTGATGTGACCCTTCGGCCGTTGGATTACTGACACGTGTCCTCTCATCGCATTTATTGTTGCTATAAATAGCAGCCCATTTCTCCTTGTAAAACAGGATCTACATCCCAACTCCACATCTCGAGTTCATTTAATAAAATCGACTCTCTCTCCTCCTATTTGCTCTGACTTCTCTCTAAGTTATTCCCGTAATAACCCCTCGGATAAGATACCCCCCGGGTAGACCATCCATCAGGTGGTTTTGCGGGAAATGTCCCTGGTTGTCTTGTATTGCGTCAATTATTTATATCTTCCGTATCATTTACAGTTTTTGTGATGTATGTTGTTTATTATTAATTATATGTTTGTTTAATTTAGTTTGAATTACTCTTGAAAACCAGCAAAAGTGTAAAAAGATTTTCGCTCCACTAATTATGCTAAAATGAGATAGGAACATTTATTTATATGTATGCAAAATTTAAAAGAAAAACATTTTCAAAATGGAGTATTTCACTTAGTCTTTATTACTCCATATGGATCCGGAGTACGTATAAATAATCCTAAACAAAAAGCACATGACTTTGTAAATGAATAAAGGGAAAACAGTCAAATAGGTCCTTGAACTTTCATAAAAAAGTCAATTAAGTCTTCTACAGGAGGTTATGTCCGGCCGTCGTGATTTGGGGCAGTTCCCGGTGGAAATTTTTGATGAAATTTTTTGAGCATCTTATTCACCAAGTCTAGTTTATTCATACCAAATTTCAGTTAAAAATTCAATCGGGAACACATTCACATTAATTCTTGAAGATAACTGCGCATTTTTGCGTTCTCGAATTAATTTGAATGCGCTCCCCATTGATTTTTTAGCTGAAATTTGGTATGAGTAAACTAGACTTGATGAATAAGATGCTCAAAAAATTTGATCAAAAAATTCCACCTGGAACCGCCCCAAATCACGACGACCGGACAGAGTCTTCTATAGGACTTAATTGACTTTTTTATGAAAGTTCGAGGACCTATTTGACAGTTTTCCCATGAATAAATGAAAGTACAAGGTTTCAATCCAAACCAATACTAAAACTCAAAATACACGTCACTCTATGTTGGAGGGAGGATAATCAATGACTAAAGAAAGGTAAACTACTTTTAATATTAAAATAAGAGAAAAGAGTCAACTAGGTCTTCGAACTTACATAGAAAGGTCAAATAAGCCTTTATGTAGGAGGTTCTGTCCGGCCGTCGCCATTTGGGACAATTCCCTGTGGAATTTTTGTGATGAAATTTTTTGAGTATCTTATTTATTAAATCTAGTTTACTCATACCAAATTTCATCTAACAAATTTCATCTAACAATTTCATCTTCAGAATCGTTCAAAATCTTGATTTTATCAGAGTTTACAATTTTAAGAATTTGTGTTTAGAGCAACCCAAACACGGCCCAAATCGCTCAGGCCTAGTAACTAAGCAAGTGTAGTTACCTGCGTTTCACTCAGAATGCACGCGAGTTATATACTGGATGGGGAGGGGGAATTGGTTTGAGGTTCCCGGTGTGGGATAGTTGCAAATCAGAGAAGATAGAATGATCGTTTAAAACAATTTTTTTTTAAACACAACATGGATTCCAACCTGCACGATCTAACTTCCTCGCATTTGAACACCCATAGGAGGATTTGTTGTGTGTAAATGGTGAATTAATGGACCTGAACGTTGGACATCAATGACCAATCCGTTGGGCATTGAATCGTCCATGAACTGTCCATTTAACGCTCACATATTGAATCGTCCATGAGGTTCCCGGTGTCCTCGCATTTGTCAGATTGTGATTATAGTCCAATTTACATCCTCCCATAACCGGTGGGTGTAGCTCAACTGGTAGCAAAGGAGTGCCACAAGGGTTAGGTCTTGGGTTCGAATCCCGGCAACTGCGATGAGGGGTTACTATGCTGAAAAATGCATAGGGCTTCTGCAAGTACCGGGGACAGAGCCCCACTCTCTATCTGTCAGATTGTGATTATAGTCCAATTTACATCCTCCTATCGTGTCGTCCGGTCGGTGTTGGGGGGCCCTCAGGGATGGGGTGTCATCCTCTTTTTTTTTCCTCGCATGAAACTACTGTAACGGTGTAGTCTACCAACCCACCAACACCAACTTCTTAAATTAAAGAGAACTTTCAACCAAGGTTGTTAAAATCGTATTTTTAGATCGAATCGTATTTAAAAATCGAATCGTAAATCGTACGATTTTATTAAATAATAAATAAAAATTATAAAAAAATTTATATAAAAGAAAATTTATAATTTAATATTAATAAGTCAAACAACTACAAGTTTAAATTTATAAATCAAACCATTATATGTTTGTCTTACAATGATGTGTTCATTAAAGTGGACAAAATAATTAGTGACAAAATAAAGCTATGTAATCACATAATAGAAGTCTTTCAACAAATAAAGTACAATGCTACAAAGAAAATTCCCAATGAATATTTGAATAGAATGAGTATTTAAGCATTAGTTTAAATATTATGAGTATGATTTTGTAAAGCAATATCAATGGATAAGCCTGATAAGCTGAAAAAACAGTGTTGCCAAACTGCTTTTATATATTATATAGCTAAAGTGATCCTCTACATTAATTTCAGCCAATACAGCCAAAAAAGTAACTTCAAATCTTACGTTTTCTGCTTATTATACAATTCAGCGCGCGAAAGGAAAAGTTAATCCATCATACTATTGATAAACGGCCTTGTAATCAACAAGGAAAAGTTAATCCATCATACTATTGATAAACGGCCTTGTAATCAACAATTCCATTTACATACGGGGTATATGATTTTTTTGTTATATTCATTAATCCATCATAGTACACCTCTTCAAATTGGCCTATCCTTTTTCTAAATATGCATTAATTAATATACATATTTCTTGTCGTATTAGGTGGGAGGCAGAATGTTAAAGAGGAACAGAAGTGGTCGCCCCCCATCACTCCTCAAGAGTCGTGCATGCGCACTCGTCTTCCTCCACCTCTTCTTCCCCAGTCTCCGCCTTCCCCTTTCCGCTCTCTTTTCCATGTTTCTTTACACACAGTAAAGTATAAATTCTTATTCTTATATATATACGTTTAATATAAAGCAGACTTTTAGATCAATTTACTGGTTCAATCAGGTACGCGATTTCATTTCATTTCCATAGAATATTCTCTGAACTGCTCATGCCTACATGCAACGGATCATCTTTTATTGTAGTTTTCATAAAATACGACGATCTGTTTTTTGTGCTTTGGATGAAAACTTGTGAGTACTGAGTAGTATTCCAGATGACAACAATCTGGTGTTCAGTTTCAGATGATCGGATTTTCCGGAATACTGAAATGTAATTTCATTTTTAATTCAGAATATGAATATGCGGTATCGGCCCCGTCGTTTTCCCGTTCTGCCTAATTTCACAGCCTATGTACTAGGCGCCAGCCCGCCCCCTCTACCTACCCTGCCATTTTTTCAACACAAGTGTTTTGCATCGTGAAGATACGTTTAATGTCGATTGCTGTGATTTTTTCATTAGTGGTGACTGGTGATATGACTTATCTTTGAATTCATATGCACAGGGTGATTATTTTTTCTTCAAAAAGGAGCTTTATTTTATTTTATTAGTATGAGCTCATATGTTTAATCCTAGCTTCGTCTGAAACAGAGTCTATGTTTTACACACGCCATACTGTTTTATTCGTTTTTTAATACTGTTTAATAAGGACACTAATCTTACTTTTATTGGTTTATGGTTCATTTAACTAAATTTATAATATTTATATTGTTTAGCTTTTTTTGAATAATAACGTAAAGATTCTTTTTTTGATTTACTTTATTAAAACATTAAAATTACTCCGTACCATCATTTGTTGACCTTTAAGTCGTATTTGGTTCTTTATACTCTTATAAAAAATGTAATGAGACGTCTTATGATCCATAAAAGTCACTTGTATCACAGTTTATGGATTGTAATGATGTATTTGCGATTCTTATAACTTCCCTTAATTTCCATTTTTGGGTTTTATCAGGAACTTCTGAAATTTGCTTGCATATACTGCATATCAATATAGCATTTGATGGCATCAACAGAGCGTGGTATTCATAACAAAAGGATAGAGGGAAGTGATTTAAGAAATACTTCACTCTTTCTTGATGATGAGCAACAATCTCCCTCCCCCATGTGTTGGAAGGGTCCTGTTCCAAATCCGCCATTTCCTCCTCCTAGAGCCGGTTTAAGAGACAGAAGCCATAGAGGGGTGGCTGGTTCTTGTTGCATCCTTAATAAAGCAAAAGACACATGGGAAAAACTCTTCAAAGAAGGGTTTGGAGCAGATGTGCGTATCATGACAGATGATGGATCAATCATTCCAGCACATTATAGTGTTTTGGTGAGTAAATGGATTTTGTATATTTACTTGCTCTTTTATCATAGATTATAATTTGTTATGTTTATGCTAAATGCTTTTTATGCATTTAATTTTACCATATCATTCTTGAAAATCGTTTATGTTTTCATGTACTCGTGTTAATATTTATGTTTTTGAAGGTCCCGTTAAACTAAAGAAAGGGCCCCAAATAACAATTGCTCATAATTTTATTCTATAATTGTATTCAAATGCATTTTATTCTAATCATATAACTGGTGAACCAACAGTAATATTTTCCTTCACTACTTTTGAAGAAACATTAATTTTTTCCTGAAACATGGAGCTATCTATCCTCAGAACATTTTTTTGAAATAGATTTTTCAATGGTATTTTCATTTTCAGTTTTATCTCCAACAGCCAACTAATACACATGTCTTTCATGTTCATTAAGAACCGTGTAGGATTTCAATTTGAAATTTTTTGTTTGGGTAATAAAAAATTGGGCCCTGCTCATAGGCATCCATTTGCATCCTTTCATGTAATGTGTGAATGTGAAATGTCAATTAGTTGATTTTGTGTTAGAAAACAATCCTGACTTCTGGCATTTCTTTTTTATTGTCCATCATCCTCAGTGTGTTGCATCACCTGTATTGAGAAATGCCCTGCAGCAATGTAAGGTGAACAATGGCATGAGAAGTATGAAGGTCCCAAGCATGCCATATGATGTTGTCCACATCTTCATTAATTTTCTTTATTCTCCCAGGTGTGCAAGTCGTCCAGTACTTCCATAGTCATTTTTTAATAAAGTGTCCTGAAAATAATTACATTAATGCCTAAACTGTCATGACTTTGAGCAGGCTTCTGCTGCATGCATAATTAACCTTACATGTTTTAACAATTCTGAATTGGAGATTGACATTTTAGTTGCTTTGCATTCAAACGCAGTTATGATGAAATGGAGATGAAGAAGTTTGTTCTTCATCTGTTAGTTCTATCACATTCCTACGCCGTGCCTTCACTTAAGAGTGTGTGTGAACACATTATAGAGCACGGATTGCTTAACTCAGAAAGTGTTATAGACTTACTTCAGTTAGCAAGGAAGTGTGATGCACTGCGGCTCTCATTTGTGTGTGCCCGGATGATTATGAGGGACTTCAAAACCGTATCATCAACTGAGGGGTGGAAGATAATGAGCCGTTCCAATCCTGCACTTGAACAAGAGCTTCTAGAATTTGTTGTAGAGGCAGATACGGTATGATAGTTCTGATAGTTCATCAAGAACTGTTTTTATTTTCTGGTCGGTGTCATCCTACATAAAAATAGCATGAAAATATAAACTAAGAACATATACTGATTTGGTCCCTCTAATATACATCATTGGTCAATTTGGTTTTCAACTTTTGATTAGATTCGATTTGGCCCTCGTCTCAGATATTTGGACTTAATTTAGTAAGCCTTCTAGGGATGCACCCCTGAACGGGACTGTTTTTTTCTAAACCGGAATTCGTAATGACTAAATAAACAGTGCCAACCGAAGAACTTGAACCAACACAACTCAACCCAAATATGGGTCTGGTTCTACCATTTACTTTACCAGAGCTGAAATCGGATTGGGTCCCCAGGTGTTATACTCATAAATATTTGGTTAGAAATGTGCATGAAGACTAAATCAAGTCCAAATATTCCATAATTAAACACCAAATTGAATCCAAAAGAAGTCAAATATCGGTTTAGTAGTATTATGTAGTCTAGGGAGTAGGGACCAATTAGAGTATTAACTCGTAATAATCATACAAAACATTGGATTACCCCTGCTATTAGATGATGTTGATTGAACTTGTGCAATCATATGCTTGTATAAGCATACAGCTAAGTGTTTATATTACAGTGACTGTTTTAGAGGAAGCAAGAGCGGGTGAAGAAAACTGAAGAGAAAAAGGTATATTTGCAACTATATGAGGCCATGGAGGCTCTACTTCATATCTGTAAGGATGGGTGTCGAACGATCGGACCAAGAGATATGATGCTTAAAGGAGGCCCCGATGCATGTAATTTTCCAGCATGCAAGGGACTTGAAACTCTGATCCGCCACTTCTCTGGTTGTAGTACCAGAGTTCCAGGCGGATGTGTGCGGTGTAAACGAATGTGGCAACTTCTTGAGCTTCACTCGCGGATGTGCATTCAACCTGACTCTTGTTGTATTCCTCTTTGCAGGTTAGGATGATCATATTTCACTTTATTTTATCTTTTTTATATCTTCAACGGGTTTGCAATAATAATCCTATATGAGAAGGATTGTCACTCCATTGTAGGCATTTTAAGCAGAAAATGGTGCAACATACCAAGAGAGAGGAAGCAAAATGGAAGGTATTGGTGAGCAAAGTGCAGGCAGCAGAGGTTAGGCTTGGACTATTCTCAACTAAGCGGTCAGCTTTTTGTTACGACCTCTAAAACTGTACATATGATGAGTTGGTGCTTCAATGAATAAATGGTCAAATATTTTGTAGACCATATTGTAAGGGTATAGGGTATATAATCTGTCACAGGAAGATAGTGTGAAAGGTATAATGTTATAGGTCAAATTGTGTCTTGTAAAATTCCCACATATGAGTGAATGTTGAAATCTACTTTTCTTGTCTTGGAAAAGGTTAGTCTTCGTTAATATGGTAAGAAATCATATCTTGAACAACCATGCTACCGGTATACTCCGTACCTTCTTGTACACACCATTTCATTTTGTATGTGTATGAACACTTTTTTTCATTTTGTAAATGAAATTGTTTTTCTCACCTACAAAGTATCGGGAATATCTTCACAAAATGAAGAAAAAATATCTGCCCACAAACAATCAATTTACTTGGCAATGTAAAATGACTTAGGGTTGGTTTGCAACTGCTTTTAAAAAAGGATTTCTCAGTTTTTGGCTTTAAAAAAGCACTTATTTTTCCAAACACTACAACTTTTATTTTTATCGGCTTCCGCGTCAAAAGTGTTTTTACTTTTTCTATTACACAAAAAACACTTATTTTACCAAACACTATTCACTTTTACTTTTCAAAATCACTTTTTTCTCAAACACTATCAACTTTTATTTCATCATTTCTCCCCATTTCATTAAAAAAATCACTTTTTTAAAAGCAGAAGCGGTTGCAAACAGACTCTTATACAAATACTCTCTCAGAAGCGGTTCCTATTTTGTAAGATATATTTTCTATTCACTTGGTCAACACAAATCACTCTTAATCTCTTACTTTATATATCAAATTATTATAAAATTTGATTCTAGTTTTTGCGACTTTGTAAAGCTTTTAATGTAGTTTATGAATATGTGAATCTTTTTTTCTAAAAATAATTTGGTACAAATAAGTATCCGTTTGTTTTATCGTCGATCAAACTTCGTAAACCGTGAAACGGCGAGTAATATTTGCGTCTTGAAATGCACAAAAATGGCATGTACAGATCTTGTGGGGTCCAGTACGTTTAATTGACGATTACAACTCACACCAATTTGTAGTATGGGCAAATTATGAAATTGGTGATCATATTTCCACATCTTTCAGCAGGGACGGTACACCACTAGGTGTCATAATTATGGGTGACCAGGTACTGGTTGCAGACCAAAATCGGACTGCACCCGGCTAATCTTTGGGTTGACCACACTGTTCACTTTTCAAGGCTTCTATATCATTTTTTGTTACAATTCCTCACCACCGGACTAACTGGCACCCGTACTGCTTTATTCAAATTAATAAAATACCTCGGATGGGAATTGTAACCAGATTGGTATAACAGGCTCATCCGCTCATAATATCATATACTCCTATGGAATAATACTTCTAATACTGTAATTATTCAAAAATAATTTTAATTTGCTTACAGTAATTAGATTAGAGTTACTAATCACTGTGGCTGGTCCTTTATGTTAAGCATCCGGATCTAGTCATTAGTCTCACTAAGATTGTGTCTTTTTTTTTCCGAGAAATCTCACTATGATTACTATGATTGTCTCATACTCCATACTAAATTTAGTAGAGTTTGTGTAACTCTAAATCATTCTTATTTTATCAATTAAATATCAATTACGTACATAAACACATTTTTCTCAATAGCGTGTTGCTTTCTCATGTCTCAATGTTAGTAAGACGGAAGTAGTAAAACACCAAAACTTCCACATTGTAATTATCGGCATTAAATCCTAAATTATATGATACTCCATCCATCCCAAAAACAACTTCACAGTTTTGACATTCACACAGATTAAAAAAATAAATTTGACTTTACTGTACAGTGCACTGTTTTGCACTGTTTAAACACAGTTTGACACTGTTTGGACACTATTTGACACTGTTTGACACTGTTTGACACTATTTTGATGTAGATAATTTGCCAAGTAAAGAAAGTATCGAAATGTGAAGTTAATTTTGGGACATCCATTTAAGGAAAGTGATGGGAAGTTGTTTTGGGAGGGAGGAGGGAGTATATTATAACCTTAAACAAAAACAAGTGAGCTACACCCTTAGACCATTTGGACTGGTGTGAGAGTCTAAATGTTAAAAAATGGACTCCGTCCATATGAAAACAGTGTTTTGACTCTTATTTCTCTGCATTCCAGCACCGTCAATAAAATACACTCTGCGCATTTTTTTACATATCAATTTAGTAAAACATTAATTAAATTATTATAAGTAATATTTTCCCTTTAATTTTTTCTCCGATTAATTATAAAATAAAAAAGACATATTTCAATACAAAAATAAATAAATTTCATTATTTATTTTTTTACGTTTCTCGGTTAACAAGAAATGAACTTAAAGTTAGATTATGAAATATTCACTTATTTGTGAAGGTTGCATGAATTAAAAATATGTGTTATATGATTTTTTAGGCTCAAGAAAACTTCAACATTTAGAATTTCAAAAAAAAAAATTATATATTACATATTGGTGTCATATGAAAGATCATAAAAATTCATGAATTTGAATACATGTTTTGAAAAATTTGGAGAACAAATTAAAAACTTACAAAAGATTAAAAGTTTTTGGGATTATAGTGACATCAGTATGACATCACCGTGACATCGGCAGAATGCATAACCTATGCACGAGGCGGCCTTTTCTTTTCCCTGTCAATCCTCCCTCTATTTTTAGAACCCTCCATCCACTTACCCACTTTTACTACACTCTATAACACACCACTAAATGAAATTAGGAGTCCAAAATTTCCATCTTTAACATTTTGGACTCCTAATACCTCACCACTCCAAGTGATCTTACCCCTACAAAGAAATTTAACTTTAACCCAACTGAGGTATCCAACAAAATACTCCAGTGTTTGTTGGGTACGAGCTAACTCTTACATGCAATAGAAATAAATAAATAAAACATAATAGTGTTTTCTAATAACTTACTCCGTACCTTCTAGGCGCCTACATGCATCAGATTCCAAATTTTAATTGTTATAGAACATGTAGAAACAAAAACAGGCATCAGGAATCTTAAGTTGATGCATTAGAAAGAAAATCCCCATTTTACCCCCTAAGTGGTTTGAACACTATACAGTGATAATCTGGCACAAAGAAAGAGCCAGGAGAACTAGACAGTTGAAGAAGAGCTGTCATCATCGGATGAGGAACTATCTTGCTGTTTGTCAATGTACCCAGGAAAAACCTGTGCATTAACCGCCACCATTGGGAACTGTCGTACCGAGCTGACTATGGTTCTCTCGTTTATCTTCCCAACATCTTTGCATACCTGATCAAGCACACCCAAGAAGTCCCTAACCACCATGAAAACCCGCAACGGGCGAGCTTCTTCCTTAGCCAAGTCACCGTGGAAGTATTCAGTCACCTCCTTCACCATCGACATGGCCACATTTTCTTGAGCTTGAATGTTTATTATTTCCACTTTGGCCTTCTTTAGAAATGTGTCCATCGACTCTGAGAATTTTGTTGTATTCTCTCCCTTTTCGCCTTCTATTAGTTTCACTACAAGGGTAATCTTGGAAACTCCGTCTGCTAGCTTTGAAACTTCATTGATGAGTACATCGGAGTCCATGTCAGCAGCTTTCTTGACATTGGTCAGCTCCCCGCTCAATCCAGAAACCACTTGAAGGCCGACCTTTCTGAACTCGACCTCTTCCTGTATGACAAATTGCTTCTTTTCTGCATTTTGATGACAACCGGAGAGACGGGACCCTTCTGCTCTTACTATTTCTTGAACGACGAAGTGGAGGAGTGTGGTCTTTCCATCTGCGCCCTTTACATCTACAAGTTTTAGCAGGGTATCGAGTTTGAACGCACTGGCATCTCCACGGTTGGTTCCGACATTCATGCGGTTCCCTGTTTTTAGTACGGCTTCTAAGAGTTTCATGAACATTCTGCTCTTCCTCAGCTCTTGACATGCAGCCTGGAAGCATCATAAGTCAGGAATGCATACAAGATAGGATTACATTATACATGAAGCTCTTCAGATTCTTTAGCTATGTAAGGATCGTGAAAAATACTAGGGAAATAAAATATGATTTTTTATTTTTAAAGTATACTCCATATAAGTTTAGGTTGATTAGTACTACGCATTCATATAACACATATGACATATTTATAAATAAAAAATGATTTCAGGCAATATTACATGAATTTATTATGTATGAAACAATGAATCAATTCTTTATTTAGCTTAACATTTTCATTTCATTTTCTCCTCGACATTCCACTCTGTTTTCTATCTCTTACATTTTTCTCATTCCAACCTGACCCTTATTGTTGATAAAGTTCTGGGAGTGATTCGCCTATATCTTGATAAATTTTAAACGTTTCTAAAGATAAATAAAAGGTGGTTAAAATGTTATCACAAATTATGTAAATAGTTCTTTTTTATATATAATACGGAGTATCATACATGTATACGGAGTATATATACTCCCTCCGTCCCAAAATTAAAGTCACACTTTCCGTTTGTGGATGTTCCTAGATAAAGTCACAATTCCCTATCTGGTAAACAATTCTATATCAAACAGTAGAAAACAATGCAAAAAGTGTCAAAACATCGTACTCTACAGTAAAATTTACCTCTCAGTAAATTTATTTTCTTAATATGTGTGAAGTCAAATTGTGATTTAGTTAAGAGAAGGAGGGAGAGTATGTGTTGGTGGGTATATGGGTTTTATGTAAAGATTACTTGGCTCTACAAAACCATCCCTGCAAAAAGACACTACTCTACACTAAAGTCCAAAACAGAATGGATTGTGAAAAAAGCCAAATCAAAACACGGCAAATGCTTACACATTCTGTCAATTGAGGTGAAGCCGTGAAGGCAAGGACTGCAGTCTTAGTAAGATAAAGATTCTCTGTACTCAATAATTATGGAGTCAAATTTTCAAGACTAACAAAGTTAGTACTTTTTCACATCATTTGGTTTTCAAAAAACTTATTACTCCGTATTTCATTTCCAAAAAGTAAATGACTAGTTCAACTTCACTTTTAATCCACTAATAATCTCCATAAAGCTGTTTGCAAAAAAAAAAAAATCTCCATAAAGTTTGTGTGGAACGTTTGAAGTGTAGCTATACAAGCCACATTAATGTTTTTCTAAAAAGAGATAGAAAGAAACTAAAAACCCAGAAACTGAAGGGCTGGAAAAAAAAATACGAAGACCTAAAATAAAAATGATATATTTGCAAAGAATAAAAAACAGTATTCAAAA